TGAGGGATATAAAGTGGTTTAGTTATATTGTAAACATTTAATATTCAGAAAACACATTTCATATTTTATCCTTCAAATTTTAGTATCTCCTAAGATAATTTGTCCAGTTTATAATGATTCTTCTCTTAAATGCACCATTTTTTAGGACACTTTTAAGTTCACAGGAAAATTGAGCAGAAAGTACAAAGTTCCGTATGCGCCCAGCCCACACACATGCACAAACACGCCCTGCAGTCAGCATCCCACACTAGAGTGGTATGTTTGTTACATTCAGTGAACTGACATTGAAATCATCTGAAATCCATAGTTATATTAGGGTTAACTCTTGGCATTAAACATTCATTGTGTTTCAACAAATGTATAATGACGTGTATTCACCATTACAGTACCATACAGAGCAGTTTCACTGCCCTAAAAGTCATCTGTGCTCTGCCTGTTCATCCCTCCCTTCCCCACAGCTCCTGGCAACCACTCATCTTTTTAGTTTCCATAGTTTTGCCTTTTCCAGAATGTTGCATAGTTGGAATCGTATGTAGCCTTTTCACATTGGCTTCCTTCACTTAGCAGTATACAGTGTACTTCCGTATCTTTTCATGGCTTGGTAGCTCATTTCTTTTTAGCACTGAACAATATCCCACTGTCAGGATGTACCACAGTTCATCCATTCACCCACTGAAGGACATCTTGGCTGTTTCCAAATTTTGGCAGTTATCATTAAAGCTGCTATAAATATTTGTGTGCAGGCTTTTGTGTGGACATAAGTTTTCAACTCTTTTGGGTAAGTCACCAAGGAGCATGGTTGCTGGATTGTGTAGTAAGAGTACGTTCAGTTCTGTAAGAAACTAACCTGGCTTCCACAGTGGCTGTACCCTTTTGCACTCCCACCAGCAGTGAATGAGAGTTCCTGTCACACCACATCCTCACCAGCATCTGGTGTTGTCAGCGTTCTGGGCTTCGCCATTCTAGTAGGTGTGTTGTAGTAGCTCATTGTTATTTCAGTTGGCAGTTCCCTGATGTCATGTGATGATGCTGAGCATGTTCTCACGTGCTCACTTGCCATCTGTGATTTTCTCTGGTGAGGCATCTAGATGTTTTGCCCATGTTTATTATCGGATTGTTCATTTTCTTATTGTTGAGTTTTAAAGAGTTATTTGTATATCTTGGATAACAGTCCTTTATTAGATAGTGTCATTTGCAAATATTTTCTCCCAGTGTGTGGATTATCTTATTCTCTTGACATTGACTTTTGCAGAGCAGAAATTTTTAATTTTAATGAAGTCCAGCTTGGCAGTTCTTTCTTTCATGGATCATGTCTTTGTTGTATCTGAAAAGTCATGGCCAAACTCAAGGTGACCTAGGTTTTCTCCTAGGTTATCTTCTAGGAGTTTTATAGTTTTGCATTTTACATTTAGGTCTATGATGCATTTTGAGTTAATTTTTGTAAAGAGTGTAAGATCTGTGTCCAGATTTATTTT